CTTCTTTAAACCCAAAATTCCATCATTTACATGGCATTCAAGAATCACACTAAATTTTTAATGTGTTCTAATTCCAATTCCAACACTTCATACTTCTTAATTAGATTGATGACAAGTCAAATTCATCCATAAAACTTCAACAACCATACCATATCAAAATTTCATCTTAAAACTCATATTACAAATTCCTTCTTAATTCCTTTATCTTATTGTTTAAATCCCATATAAGCTTTCCTTAAGCTTATTTAATACCCAAAGAATCAAAACTAAGCTTAAAACTCAAGAATTAACCAACTGAAATTAAACTTACCTTTGCCATGGAGCTTACGGGAAGAGAGGAGGAAGGAGATGACCCAGCTCCAGAACTTTCTTTTCTTCTCACCATTTCCACGTTTTTATCACCTTAAAAGAAAGATAAAAATCTTTCTGGTCAAATGACCATTTTACCCTTAATTTCCTTTAATAATTACTAATTACTAAATGATCATTAAATTATTTCATTCTTCTACGTTAGTCACCAAATTCTAAAACTTTTCAATTTAGTCACTAACCCGGTATTGCGGATGTTACAGGGTCCTTATTGGTAATGATGTGGTGCGACTTTGTTTGCAATTATTGAGAGGTGTATTGGATATGTGGTTGGTGAACAAGACCATGATTATTCTCATCCCTAAAGTGGTTGGCACTCAACAAATGAGGCAACTACGACCTATTAGTCTGTGTAATGTGGTATATAAGATTGTTTCAAAGATGTTGGTCTGTCGATTGAAAGGGATTATGGGGACTTGTATCTGTGAGAATCAGGTTGTTTTTCTTCCAGGTAGACAAATATCTGATAATATATTAGTGGCCCATAAGCTTCTTCATTATTTGAATTCATCCAAGAATAATTCAAACGAAGGGGCTGCACTTAAACTGGACATGTAAAAGGTCTATGATAGAGTGGAGTGGTATTTTTTGCAACATGTAATGTTGCGGTTAGGATTTTGTTCTGACTGGATTGGTACTATCATGAGATGTGTGGAATCAGTTACTTTTTCGATCTGTGTGAATGGTAGTTTGACTCATGAGTTCAAACCTAGCAGAGGGCTGAATCAAGGTGATCATTTTTCTCATTTCTTAATTTTTTGTACTTATGGTTTGTCTGCTTTGGTACACAAGTTATAGAATCATAACAAGATAAGGGGTATTAATGCTAGTCGGAATGGGCCTAAGGTGACTCATCTACTTTTTACAAATGATAGTATTATTTTTCTTAAGAACTCCTTACAGGAAACTGAGCACATCAAATAGACTTTGCTTATTTATGAGGATTCTTCTGGTCAAAAAGTGAAGCTTGACAAATCAGTTCTCGATTTCAGCCCTAGCACAATCCTTTCTCAACGTCAACAATTTTCTTCTATTTTGGGTATTGATGAAGTGGACTACCTCGGCATGTCTCTTCATATTGGGAAGAACAAGGCAACTACATTTGGTTATTTGAAGTAAAAAGTGCATGATAGGATTGATGGTTGGACTATACAATTGCTCTCATATGGTGGTCGATAGGTGTTCCTTAAAGCCGTGGCATAAGCATTACCGCATTATGTGATGTCGTGTTATTTGTTACTTGAGTGTTTGATTAATGATATGACTAATGCATGAGATTCTACTGGTGGCCTGGTAATGTTGATAAATGTGGATGACCTTTAGTTGCTTGAAAGACTTTATGCAAGCCTAAGCGTGTTGGTGGTTTAGGGTTTCGAGATCTTCACAGCTTCAACATGGCGCTTCTGGGTAAATAGGTGTAACGATTTATCCGAGAACCTAATAACATGGTTGCACGAGTGTTTCAAGCGAAGTATTTTTTTGGATGAAGATATATTGAATGCTACAGTTAAGGATAAAAGTTCATTTGCTTGGAAAAGTCTTCATAAGTCTCTTCAAGCATTACGTGGAGGGCTCTTCTAGAGAGTTGGCATTAGGAGTGGTGTTCGAGTACATTCTGATAGATGGGGGGACTAAAGTTGTATATTTATCAGGGAGTTATATTGATTCTTTTCATAATCCTATTCTTTGCCATGAGTTTATGTTGCCTGGTACTAATTTATGGAATGAACCTCTGATTCGCAGGGCATTTTCTGATGCTGATGCTAGGCAGGTGTTGGCGGTTCCCTTGGACCTTGTCAAGGGGATGTGATTGTTTGGGGCAACCATGATTCTGGCATGTATTCTGTTCACTCAGGTTACTGGTGGTTACAATAAAGTTCAAATGATAATAAGTGTAGATCTAGGGTGTGGTTGGTCATTTCAAAGTTGCAGTTGCTTCTAAAAATCAGTATCTTTGCTTGGCGTTTAGCGCGTAATGCCTTACCTGTGGGTAGTAGTCTCAAAGATGCTGGGTTGACTGATGTTATTTGCCCAATGTATTCTTCTGCTGAAGAAACAACGTTGCATTATGTTTGTTGTTGTTCTCGAGCTCAAGAGATTCTACGTCTGACCGATATTCCTACTAATGTTGCTCTTAGCATGGCGACTGATCCTCTAGTTTGGTTGGAGGATTATTTATCCATTATTGGGCGTGATGATTTTTCTATCTTATTGGTTATTTTGTGGAATGTTTGGAATAATCGTAAATCGTTTGTTCATAATAACAGGTTGCAATCACCTTGGGTTCTGGTTACGATGCAAAGACCCTTCGTCAAGAGTATTTGAGTTTGATTGTTAAGGAGAAGATGGATTAACGTGTACATGGGAGGACGACAAATAGTGTTATTTTGAGAGACACTGAGGATAGGTGGCGACCTCCAGTGGTGGGGTGATTAAAGTAAATACAGATGGTGCCTTTGATGATGCGCGTCGCATTGCTGCAGTTGGTGTTATTGTGCAGAACAAGAGAGGTCAAAATTTTAGAGGCATTGCTCAACCATCTATAGGATGTTTCGAAGCCGGGTTTGCGGAGTATCATGCTCTTCTTGTTGGGCTTCAACTTGCTTGTGATAGAGGGTGGACGAACATTCATTTTGAAACGGATTTGTTGATGGTTGTTCAAAAGATTACAATGCTTACTGATGATATTTCTACCCTTGGTCTTTTTGTCAAGCAAGCTCATGCAATCTTTCAGTCTAATCCTGGGTTTCATATTATCTTTGCTCACCGTGCTTGTAATACTGTTGCTCACAAATGAGCTAATTGGACTATTATGACTGGTGACTCTTTGTTTTTTTACTCGATTTATCCCGAGATTATTGATGTAATTTATTCTTGATATATGACACTTGGATACTATTTTTTTCCTTATTAGGTTTATAAGGAGTTTTTTAATGAGGCTCGTATATGGTTATCTTAAAAATTATTATTATTATTATTATTATTATAATGACATTTTATATTTTTATGTTTTTTTATATAATTTGTATTACATATGATTTATAGATAAATTTAGTACCACTTAATCAATTTTTATTATTAAATAAATTTAAAAAGTATTTTTATATAAAATATTATTTTACGCATAATGTGAGTATTATAAATTCAAAATAAAAATACCCAAATAAACATCGTATTATATTAAAATAAATTTTACCGTAAAAATTTATAAAAACATTATAAATTTATTTAATTATTATGAATATTTTTTAAAATTACTAGTTATTTTATATAATATTATACATATTTTATAATACTTTAATATTTTTAAAAAATTTAATAACTAAAAGAATTGTTTCAATGTTTAGTCAACATTTGTATGCTCCGTCTTAAAATTAAATTAAATTAAATTTGAATGTTTTCTCAATCCAAGTGAAACCTCAAACCTATAAAGACCGTTTATTTATTTAGGTTGTTTCATCGTCATTATTTTATTGGTAAAAAATAGTAATGGTCACTGAATTTCTCTAAATATTTCATTTAAGTCCCTTAACTTTTAAAACTTACAATATAATCTCTTAAAATACGGATTAAATATTAAGTGATTGTATTGTAAATAGATTAAATATTAGAGGATTGTATTGTAAATTTTAAATGTTATGGGACCTAAATGAAGTATTTAGTAAAATTCAGTGATCATTATTATACTTTACCCTTATTTTATTAGGTTGCTTAGCCCAGTCCACTTTCCTTCGTCATCCGATTGTGCCAAGTGTTATATATATATCTATCGATAAAGGCAGATTAGCCCCTACAAACAAAGAAAAAGAAGGGGGGAAGTCAGAGCAAAAAGAAAATGGGGAAATCATCGAGTGTGAAGCAAGCGGCGGTCGTTGTAGGTGCACTGGCTTTTGGGTGGATGGCTATAGAGATGGCGTTTAAGCCTTTACTGGACAAGGCACGCGCCGCCATGGACAAGACCGACCCTGATTGCGATCCGGATGACGTTACTACCGCGATCAGAGATGGTTCCGGTGTTCAAAACGACGTCGGTGAGGGAAACGATGATTCTGATCTGAATCCTGTCTCATATGCGGATGCCGTTGCCAAGGACGCTGCAGGTGTAAGTTAGGAAGTAGACATCGGAGGTTTGGGTCTAATCCATGAAAGTAGGTTACTTTTCTTGTGGGGATAATTTATTTTTCATTTCCTGCTGTTTTCTAGCTTAGGCTTAAGAATGAAGATATTTGAATAAATGTAAGAGAATAGTTTATTGCTGCTATTTGTTGTGTTCCTACAATATTAGCTAAAATCATTAGCTTTTGCATTTCATTTTTTGAAATAAACCAGAAATCAATGGTTTTTTTAATAAAAAAAATTGCCTTCAGGTGCAAGTCAAATTATGCCAAATTAAATATATAATTTCAAACATAGCAGAGGGACTAAAACCAAAATTAGACCTAAACAAAGCGAGCTTTTCTGGGTTTCGAAAAGCCCACTGGACTGGAACATAGCGAACAAACAAGAGACAAATGTCCATCAAAGAAGGCGAGTTTGAATCAAGGAAAGAACGGCCCTACACTTGCTTCCCACGCCATGAATAGCCAAATCTCCCCATCGCTAATAATCGCCAATCGCACCCCCAGACCTTTAACTACTGTCCTACTATTCTCTCGCCTATCTGATTTGAAACCTTCTGCGCAAATTAAAGAAACACCAATTCCTTTTTACCCCCGGCGTCCCGATGCCTAGTAGATCAGCTCCCGGTGCTCGAACCGGCGTTAGAGTCGTCGTTGCCGGCGATCGTGGCACCGGTAAATCCAGCCTCATCTCAGCAGCAGCTTCCGACTCTTTTCCAGACTATGTTCAGGCTGTTCTTCCCCCAACTCGCCTCCCATCTGACTTCTATCCCGATGGCGTTCCCGTTACAATTGTTGATACCTCCTCTAGGTATTTTTGTTAGTTTCGAGCTTTTCTTCGAATATCTATTCACGTCAGTGTTTCTTAATTGTTTTCGTTGATCCGGCTGTTCCAGATTTTCAGAGTAGCTTTTTTTTAAAATTAAATTGTCGATTTGGAGATTCTGGTTGTGTTTTTCTAGAGTAAACAAAAAATGTATGAAATACAAAATTCTTGATCTTATTTGATATAATATATATATGTACATGAGAAAATAATGTGAAGATTTCTATTTCGTTTAAGTAACTAGTGCATACTAACAAGAGAAATAGAAAATGCAACTGATTTAGAAGTTTGATGAGTTGTGGATGTATGCTGAATTGCTGATATTTTTGTTGTTCTTGACCTTTTAGCATGGAGAGCAGAGTAAAGCTTATTGATGAGTTGAAGCGAGCTGATGCTGTGGTTTTAACGTATGCTTGTGATCAACCTATGACACTCAGTCGTCTGACTACTTTCTGGCTGCCCGAGCTTCGTAAATTAGAGGTTTGCATTTGGCATAATTGATTGGCGCAAGATATATATATATATATTTGTAATGTATTCACGTTTATTCATACAATGACATGCTTTCATTATGTTGATATGTCAAATATCTGAATAGATAAAGGCACCAGTGATTGTGGTTGGTTGCAAACTTGATTTACGAGATGAACGTCAGCCCATGAACTTGGAACAAGTCATGGCACCAATCATGCAACAGTTCAGGGTGATCGAAACCTGTATAGAATGTTCCTCTGCTACTCTAATTCAGGTTTCAATTTTCTTCTGTACGTTTTTTAGGTTAACATCACACTCATTTTGTAGTTTGTGCCCCACCTATCTTTATGATGCTATGGCGTTAGGATTAGCAGTTCACCTTTTAAATGTTAGCTGTCGGCTATAGTGAGCATCAAGACTCAAGCTTCCATCGTTGTTTTCTTTTTTGCTGGAATATACGTCCTGTTTTATATTTCTTTTGAGCAATTGGTAAACGCTACCTTTATGTTTGTTAAATCCATTTACCATTTTTTCCCTGTTTAATAGGTAAAGATATTTGAAGGTCGAAATATAAGTGTTACATGTTTTTATCTCCAGGTCCCTGATGTATTCTATTATGCTCAAAAAGGCAGTTCTGCATCCAACAGCTCCACTCTTTGATCAAGAGAAACAAAATTTGAAGCCACGATGTATCAGGGCATTGAAACGGATATTTATGCTTTGTGATCATGATATGGACGGAGCCCTTAGTGATGCAGAGTTGAATGAGTTTTTAGGTATTTTATTTTCTTTTGTTTTTTTTCTTAACCACAACTATTTCTCTCCTAAAAATTTGGAAGGTTTGACATGTTGCACAATATATAAACAGGTTAAATGCTTTAATGTTCCATTACAACCTGCAGAGATTGTGGGTGTAAAGAGGGTGGTTCAAGAGAGGATAAGAGGAGGAGTCAGTGACCTTGGTCTTACACTTGAAGGGTTCCTATTTCTTCATGCTCTTTTTATAGAAAAGGGGCGCCTTGAGACAACTTGGGCTGTTTTGAGAAAGTTTGGATATAATGATGAATTAAAGCTTAGGGATGATACACTTCCTGTTCCAACCAAGCATGCCCCTGACCAGGTAAATCTTAGTTTTGATAGTGGACATAACTGTTATTTGTTCAAACTGACATTGATGCTATTGGCTTGTTTTTCCTGGTATATATTTTGTTTAAATTCGTAAGCACTTGACTAATCATATATATGGTAATATGTTTGGTCAGAGTCTAGAAATAGGTTGGTGATTTTCTCAAGAATATTAATCAGCTCTTTCATGCTTCATGGATCTCAATATGAAGGAAATATGGAGCTTTCTGTTGCATAGATATCATTAATTCTGAAGTTTTAGCTACTTTACAGCATCGCTATTTATTCTCCCAATATCAAATTTGTTTGTTTGTTGATTAGTTGTACTGCCTATAATGTTATTTTATTTCATTCCATGATAACTTCTTTTAGGGATAGTGTTATACTTCTAAATATCCCGCAGAATGTGGAGCTGACAAATGAAGCTATAGACTTTTTGCGTGGGATCTTCCGATTGTATGACAGTGACAATGTACGTGTTATTCTTCCAAATCCTTGTCACCTATATGGAATAAGAAGAAGAAAATACGTTGGTCATATTTGGAGTTTTTATAATGCTAAAATTTGGACAATCACTGTATTGTGCTTCTTTTTTGAGTTTGCCAGGATGGATCCTTGCAACCTTCCGAGTTTGATGACATCTTTGTAACTGCTCCAGAAAGGTGAATGTAGTTACTGGATATCTTCTTCATTTATAGACATGTATAGAGTTAACAATGTTTTCTTAGAACAGTTCTACTGCTTGGTTTATAAATACAGCAAAACACTTGAATCCTTGTCAATCTACTTCTACTGCTTTCATCTACTGATCATTTTTTACTCGTATGACAAATTTTTTATAAGAATTGGAGGTCTAATTAAAAACTCCCTTCGTATTCTTCCACATACTTAGAAGTATGTTGAAGAACATTGGAAGGAAGAAAAGAGTTCCTCATAGTTACTGATCATTAAAAACTCGTATGACAAATTAACTTTTAGACTTAGCCTCTGTTGCTGTTTACCCATCATCCTATTTGATTTTTAGAAATCAAAATATATTTCTATTAACATATTTGTTGTCTTTAATTCAGCCCATGGACTGCAGAGCCTTACATAGATGCTGCAGAGAGAACAGCCCAAGGAAATTTAACTCTTAATGGGTTTTTATCCGAGGTTTGTTGTGCTTACTACTCCTTCCTTGATTTCTTACTCTTATAATATGTTATGTCATCTTAGTGGCTATCTTGGGCCATTTATTTCTGTTACGAGTCTTGTTCATATCCTAAATTTTCTGCACAACACAGTGTCTTAAGGATCCTACTCATGGAACGAGAAGCGTTTAAGGATTTCATAAGATTTTTGTGCATTTTCTAATTTGCATTTGTAAACCATATATCAATAAGTATTGACCACTGGGATGCTGTTGATCTGAAGTTCTACTTACTTGCAGTGCATGGTCTTATTAAGTGACTAATATTGCTGGATAGTTTCATAATTTCTTTAATGAAATTCTCTATGGAATGCTTTACCATTTCACTATGTTTATTATCGACTAAACATCACTGGCTATACTAATGCTTTATCTACATGTAGAAAAATATGATTGCCTCCCACCTCTGAATATTTTTGGTTTATCTGTTCTCTTCTCTCTGTTCTTTTACCCTGGGACTTCAATTCATGGTTCCGAGATCAGATTTATTTCTTGGGTTTGTTAAAAAATACAGGACTTATCTTGTTGGTATTGATTGATATTTTAACAATTTTATTTTGGTCAGTCTTCTTCTTAAGTAACTCTCATCATATACGTGGTCTGCAGTGGGCCTTGATGACAAGTCTGGAGCCAGCGTTGAGTTTGGCAAATTTGATTTGCATTGGATATGGTGGAGATCCAACTTCAGCCCTTCGTATCACTAGGCGAAGATCTGTAGATCGTAAGAAGAAACAGACACAAAAAAATGTTTTTCACTGCTTTGTTTTTGGTCCTAAAAAATCTGGGAAGTCCACTCTGTTGAATTCAATTATAGGAAGGTGTTGACTCTCAACCTCTAATCAGTTTATGGATCTTGCTAGTTCTTTAGCTTCTTTCGTTCATCTACTGAAATTATATTATTTTTTGTCTTCATATTCTTGATACTATCGCTTCATCAATGAGAATAACATTTGAACTGCAGGTCTTTCTCTAGTAACTACACTCCAACAAATGATGTACGTTATGTAGCAAATGTTGTTGAACAGATTGGGGTGAGTAATACTGCTGATATGCCGTATGACCTGGAATTTTCATGTAATTCACTTATTTCCTCTTTCTTTTTTACCACCGTATCCTTTCCCTGTTAGATCATTGACCATGAAGGTGGAGTGTAAAATATTTGTTCAAAAGGACTAGGTTACTAGTTACTACAATGTCCTTGGGAAAATAAATTTATTTTTCTTTTGTTTTGTTTATAAGATTCCTGTGGTTTGAAAACATGGCTGCTCTTTTCTGATGAGAAGTTTCAGATTTAATGTGGCAATCTTTGTGTCCCTGTTGACATTACAGGGCTCTCAGAAGACCCTTATTTTACAAGAGATACCAGAAGATGGTGTTAAGCAATTGCTGTCGAATAAGGAATGTTTGGCTGCCTGTGATGTAGCTGTGTTTCTGTATGACAGGTAAAGTTAACATTCTATTTTCTGAAGTTTCGATATTAAAATATCATGGTGCTATAGCTCCCGTACACAGCAGTGGCTGTGAACTTCTGTCAATTAACAGTTTAGTGGGTATCTGAAAATTGAAGAATAACCAGCACCTCAAAGGGCTGTAGAGATTTGTTGTTATGTCAGTAAACGGTCTCTTATCTTACATGAATGTGTATTTCTATTGCCAGTTCAGATGAATATTCGTGGAAAAGATCAAGAGAATTGCTTCTGGATGTTGCTAGGCGAGGAGAGGATAGTGGTTATGGAGTGCCTTGCCTCCTCGTTGCAGCAAAGGATGACTTGGATCCATTTCCAATGTCACTGCAAAACTCAACAAGAGTATATATCTTCTTATCATTGGCTACTTTGTTTGTCCATACCCAACAAAACTATGGTAATATTTGAGATATGATGTAAATTTCTATATTTCAGGTTACTCAGCAGTTGGGGATGGAAGCTCCGATTCCTGTAGGTGTGAAATTAAGAGATTCCAAAAGTGTGTTGTCTAGAATCCTAAGTGCAGCAGAACACCCTCATCTGAGCATTCCTGAAACTGAGAAAGGGAAGAAAAGGAAACGATATCGCCGTCTTGTTAATAGCTCACTTATGTTTGTTTCAGGTTAATATTATTATGCCACTTCTTAATGCACCTCTTTCCTTCAAACGGAAATGGATAATATAATTGTTTACATTTGCATGTTAATAATTGGTTTTCTGATCAAGCTACAGTGGGGGCTGCTGTCGCTGTGGTCGGACTGGCAGCTTATCGTACCTATGCCGCTAGGAAGAATGCTTGAAAGACGGTCTCATCACAGTTATTGTTTTTGTCTGCATTTGCAACTCTAATAAATGGTCAGTGCATGTATCCTTGATTGGATTTTCAAGCTGATACCTGTAAATAATTTTTGACAATTATTTTAGCGAGACAGGAGGTAATATTTTCTACTTTCACTTGTGTTGAATCAAATAATTTCTTTTAAGCCAACATTTGTAAACTACATGCAATTTTGTATCAATTTCCATGGTGGAATTTCATGCCAATTATCTATTATGACTGGATCTGGGAACCTTGTATTTCTTCCCCATAAACAAAATGAACTATTTAATTGGCTTAGATTCTTGAATGAGCAACGTTTGCCCCCCTTAGCCCTAGGATACTTGTTTGTTTCCCTCCTACATACATGGTATGCTGGTTACCGTTGGTGTTAGTACTAGGGATGACAATTTTACATGTATTTGAAGGCTCCTACCGATAGGGTCAGGTTAGATTTTGTAAGTGGCGAGGTTGCATTCGGATTTAGGGGAAATTTTTTTTGACCCCACCTTAGTAATAGTATACAACCTCTTTCACACTAAAATTGTCCCTTGTTGACTATTTTTTGGTTAATTTTTTTTACTTTGATTCTTTATTATTTAAATTTTATATTGTTAAAATCTAAAAATATATATATTTTAAAAACCTTCGATCAAATCTTCTTGAAATATTTAATTTATAAAAATTATTTTTTTAAAAATATTTAGAATAATTGTGGTCAAAGTTTAAACAATTTTGACTTTAGTAAAATCAATAAGAGACGGTTTTAGTGGCATGAAGAGATTAATTTTCTTCTATAAATTTAAAAATAATTACTATAATACCTTTCTCCCTATAATTTTTTTTTCAATTAGATCTATTTTATCGAATAATATATATATTATATTTATGTTGGGTAGGATGAGACCTCCTGAAACTTGGGTTGGGTTAGGGTGAAGGGCGTATAAGTTGGATTTAGGTAAAAAGGAATGCTTTTCAGATATAGTTGAATTTGATAAAAAAAAAAATTGTCAATCCGATACATTGTCATCCCAAGATATGATTACACCAGAATGAAGAAATGAACTTCAACATGGTAGGATGCTATAATTTTTTCACTATGTTTTCATGAACTTATTTCAATCGAGTTAGACGTGCATCTTGACATTTGGATAGATCTATTTAGACCCCAACCAACGAGTGACAATTCTTTTAATTGAAATTTTAATTATATATTTGGAAGAATGCGTATGCGTTTAGTAGCAAAATCGTGAGTGTCTCGGAAGTGAAAATGCGAATAAATGAGGGAATTTGTTGTGAGTGATTTCTTGAAAATGTCTTGGCTTGGGAGAAGAAAACAAAGAAAGACGACAAATGTTGGATCATATAGGCCTTCCAAAAATCCACTTCTATTTTCGGAAGATTAGGTCAAGAAAATATAATAGAAAGGAGGAGGAGATCTGGGAGGAGATCGTTAAAAGAAAACAGTTAAAAAAAGGGTGTCTGGGTTAATTGATCATTGATGGGAAAGGGAAAGATTCTCTGTGCAAAAAGATGGTGAACTTTTGATTGGCATTGCCCTTTGCCATCTTCCATTTGCCAATTCTCAATTTACATCACTCTTAATATACGACTAACAAAAGATATTACTGAAATATTAATATTTTTTAATATTTTCGGTAAAGTACTATCTAAAATATTATTTTTTTACCGAAAATGTTAATATTGGACGCTACTTAAAATATTTAACATTTCCGATAAAACGCTACCTAAAACATTATTTTTCTACCGAAAATGTTAATATTGGGTGTTACCTAAAATATTTTTTTTTCTACCGAAAATTAGGTAGCAAAATTAATATTTCCGATAAAAAAAAATAATGTTTTAGGTAATATTTTATTAAAAATGTTAAAAAAATATTAATATTTTTATAAGACATTTCTTTAACCATATATTAAGGTTGTCGTACAACAGAAGTACCCAACTCTTTGGGTATATAGCACCAGTTGCTTAGGCTTCTCCGTTTTATATTTTCTTTTCTGCCGCGTGCTTGTTTATAGTGTTCCCATTTGTTGCTAATAAGTTTATGAATTCCTTTTTCAATTTTTTTTATAGATTTCCATTTTCAATTTTATTTATTTATGAATTTCCACATTTATACAAATAAGATTCCTGGCTTTGTCATCATCGAAGGAGAGATGTCGATACCGATGTCGATGAGAGACAGATGTCAGTACTGACGAGGAAGGATGAGGGAAGTAAGATTTATATAAAAATCTATAGATTGTATACCAAGATTAACGGTGGTAAGATTTAAACTTGACTTTTCAAGCTTAAATTTCTTAATCTCCAACTATTTATACCAACACTCGTCCGCAAATTATCATAAAATATTGACAAAACTAAATTGCATTGATTAGTTTATTTTACATAATCAAACACGGAGGAATCAATAAAATATTTTTTAAAATATAAATTAAGTGAAATAAATTAGAGTAAATTATATATTTAGTATATAAATTATTAGTCTTGGTCCACTTCAATATCTAAAGTTTCAAAAATTTTTAAAACTATACATAACATTCAGTTTTTGTTTCGTTTTAGTACATCGCCATTAACAACATGGGTGATTTGCACGTGACACATTTTTTATGGGTAATTGTATCATTCATCATTCAATTATCTACTCACTCTTATTTTGGTCATTAAAGTTTACATACTAAAACAAATCAAAACTAGCAATTTAGGTATTAAATGTGTAATTTATCCAATATATTATCTTAAAAGATAATTTGTTAAATAGGTAGGGAACACGAAGGACTTGATTCAGTGAGACAATTATGTGTGATTGACGTTAACAATTATAGGAGTGGGCTCTGGCCTACCTAATAACAATCAGTGAAAGGTATATGCAAAAATAAAATAAAAATTATTATATGCTTTAATTTAAATTAATGATTTTTTAAAAAAAATCAATATATTTCAAGATATATTGTCTTCCTTATACAACTACGAGTATACTTCTCATGCGTTCAAAGTTATAATCTTTAGATTATTATAATCATAACAATATTAATTAAATTAAAGATTCAATCGATTTTTGTCATTTTAAAGGATCCCCATCGTCCTCCTCAGATTCCATGCGACCTGCTTGATAAAATGTAAAAACTCAAATTAAATAATTTTAAAATGATATAAATCTGAAGGGGAAGAAATCAAATGATTCGAAGATGGATAATGGGGAAGCAGAGAAGAGAGAATCAAAACACAAGGGTGGGGTTTTGAAATAGATACTCTGAAAAGTTGAAATCCCCATTCCCACACTTGTCAACCCACTGATACAACAATTATTGGGTCTTGATTCGACATTTATTCCGTTCGATTTATTAAATGATTAATTTAAATTAAATTTATCATGAGAATAATTCTCTTGATCCGGTTGATATTACTCGTATGGTTAAAATTCAATTAAATCTTAAATATGAAACCATCCTACAAAAAATGTAACGTATTGTCCGCATCTATATGTGTTTCAATTATTCAATGCGAGTATATTTTTCATGACCCATCATATATATCCTCATATTATTTTTCTTTATTTTTATTCGTTGATTGCATTATCATGAGCTGTATATACAATGTCAGATTTACCTTTTAGTCGCGTTCGAGTTTTCTTTAGATAATTATTTATTTATTTTACTCTTAAAATTCTATTCATACTTATTATGTATATATATGATTGTGTCACCTTCTTGCCTAGTGCTAGAAGCAGCTTCAAATTCCAATTTCTTTGTGAGGATTGTATCAATGGTTAGTGGAATACCATCCAAAATCCAAATTCAACTGTATTTTGAAATTCACAATTTTAAGGGGTAAATCAGTAAGAAAATTCAAACAATCAAAATTTTATTTTTTATTTTAAAGACTCGTTTTTTTTATTGACTTTACAATATTATAGGTTTGAAATTTTCATCATCTTATTCGTTGATAATTTTATAAAATTATAAGCGTTGATCTAAATATGATATGATTACTGAAAAGTAATGAAGAAGAGGAAGAAACCTGGAAAATATGGAGAAGATGGGAGAGGGGCGTGGGACAGTTTTTTATTTTTAAAATAAAAATAATTATTTTAATTTTAATTTAAATGATTATTTATATTTTACCAACCTCATTTATTATGTATTTATCGAATGATATTTTAATAAATTATTAAATTAATATGAAAATAAAATGAAATGAAATATTAAACATCTATTTTGATTAAAAAAAAAGTTAATTTTTAAGTTTAGACAATTTTCTTTTTTTATTATTGAAGTTTAAAAAGTTAAAAATATCACTAACGTTTTGGAGTGGTAACAAAACAATCACTCAACTGTTAATTGACATTACCCAAATCACGAAGGTGTATGTGATGCACTTGTCAGCGCCGCTCGGCTCCATTGTTCTGCAAAAGTATAAGCATTTTTTGGCTTATAAATGGAAATTTCGAATAAGATATTGATTAAGCTACTTTCCTCTATCGCCGATCACCATTATTCTCCAACCAATAATGATATCAAACTTCTCATGTTGATTTAAATTTCTCAAAAGCAAACTCAAATTCAATGAAATCAAAACTAAAGTCCCAAACTAAAATTTGTCGAATCTATACCAATCACCGTCGGATCAAATCGCTCATTGTGTCCTCCACCGTCAGTGAATGATCATAACAAAATTCAAAATCCTGGCCTAGCTAGGCTAAGGAATAAAGGAAACATCTTTATATCAATTAAGCATATCTTTCTTCAGTGAAATTATACGATATTTCCCCTACATGACAGTAAAAGAAAAAAACAAGACATGGAGACATGGTGATTGCCTAGAGATTTTGGTTACTGGTGGGAGTGATATGGTGAGAGAAAGGAAGGTCCATTTAAGGGTATTCTTTTCTCAAAGCATATCGATGCTTTAAAAACAATGGACAAAATACATATTCAAATGTTTGACAAATTCTTCATTTCCCACTCTTAAAGGGAAAAACCCTGAAAACCACATAAAAGCACGCCCTTAAGTTATGGATACCCCAACTCCACGATGGCACACTGCCCTCCTCTCTTAAGGGAATGTAACCCTTAGTTGGTGTGAAGAGAAAAAAAGTAGTACCATCTTTTTTGAAAATCCAGATTGATATGTTTTTCAACTTTTTCCATGAGATTTCATATTCACTACAGATGCAGGAAATATTCAGTCACGAGACATGGAAAATAGAAAAGGGTAGGAGAAGAAGAAACACAAGGCTGATGAATCGTTTGTTGACTATTCGATAAGTGTTGGATCGAATAGGCGGGCAGATAACCTTGGCAGGCAAAGCACACATGTATTGGGGTCAGTTTGCAGGCCACGAGGGACCGTTTGCATGTTCCAACGGATTCAAGATTTTTTTAATGCGTAAACTTATAAATTTATATTAGAAATCTAATACGTGTGAAATTATAAATTCTAGACAATATAAAATTACACAATTAAATTAAAATATAATTTTAAATATTTAGATTATATAAAATTTTAAAATTATTAAAGATGCGACTATATATAGGGATGTGCATGGATCGGGTTTTTGGTTCACCCGACCCGAATCGACCAAAACAAGATTTCACCCGACCCGATATATAACTTAAAAACTCGACTCGATCCGATCTTAAATAATAAAAAATATTATTTTTATTCAATAAAAACAATGACTTATTTGAAAAAAAAATATATAGAGATATTATTGTAATTATTCTTAAATATATAAGATAAAATTATATTTTTTTCGAATCGGGTCAAGTCAAATATTTTTCACCATAAACTCAAACCGATATGAACCAGATTTTTTTAAAAAAAAACTCGACCTGATCAACTCAGGTCGGGTTCGAGTCCGGGTCACATGTCTATCCCTAACTATATATATATATATATATAATTCAACACTCACCTATATCCTTCCCTGCATATTGGCCTGCCCTTGCTTTTTGTAGGGTCCGAGACATGATAGTTACCTGGCGTTCGTACAATGGTGTGCCCCCAAACTTGCGTTCTCCCTCTTTCATACTACAAATTGATTCCCTTCTATTTTTCCAATATTTTGATAGGATAGAATTGGATTGGATTTAAATATATAAATATAATCAAAATTTTGAATCTGTCTTTATTCATTAATTATGTGAATATCATTATCCGTATTTAAATATTATCATTTAAATTATTAATTTTATTATCTAATAGATGGATTGAAGTTATGATCTAAAAAGATATCAATACTATCCTTAAAGTATAGATATTATTTTTATACAGTATCGATATAAGAAAAACGTATCAATACCATATCAAAGTCTGATGTTTTATTTAATTAAAAGTATCGATACAAACCAATTCAAATGTCCAGAATTATGCATATGATCCTTGATACGTGAAATGTTTATGAATGGATCTCCTAAGTTGTTGAAATTGTATATGATTGATATTGATAACACATACATTGAACTGATGACACAAAACATTGAACTATGTACGAGTTACTAATTTGAGTAATTGATTATTAGATAACTGGATTAGGATTCATAAAGTTATCATTATTGTTTTTGATCAATCAATATAACATCACCGATTTGATTCACAATTAAACCAAATTAGAAGGGTTATGCAATATGTAGTTGATATGTTTAAAGAGTCATGGGATGGTAAAAATGACATTTAGCCACTTCTAGAAGCATGACTTGCATAAATGCATATTTGGTGGATAGGTACTATGAATGTTAAATCATCTTTCCTAAATAATTCTGATGATAGGTTTACATGTCATAAGTCATGTACTAAACATATTTATACAGGTTGTACAAGTTCTGAAATGATTTAAGTGTGATTTGAGGTTCTCAAAATTGATTAAATTATCTAAATAAGACATATTAGTTGTAGGATATCAATATTTCAACAATAATATCAACATCTTATCAAATGACCAGTTTCATAAATTTTGATATACTCAAATAGTATTCATATCTACACATGGTATTGATACTTAATCACCAGAATCAATACTCTTGGTAACACTATCAATACCTTAGGCTTCAAACGGGTAAATTTTTTTTTTGTTGTCTTAAGTTTGTTTATATGCTCGATTAATCCCTAATACTTATAGGATGGATAAAATAACCATCAAAATCATGAATGATTAATTGAGATGTCGAATTAAATGCTTAGAAGTTATATTGTTGTTAATTTATAAGTTTATATAGCCTAATTATCATAGTTTGACATCAATTATATGATTTATCGTCCGACCCGAGTAAGAAGTGTTACACTGAATCTGTTGTTACGACTTTGCTCGTTATTTTTACTGTGGCTCTCTTTCCATCTTTCTTTGCTGAAATCTATATTGCTTAGTTTTCTCTTTATCTATTTCAAATAGGAGACATGAAGCAATGTCTAATTTTACACGAGAGATAATTATGTCACAAATCTGATGGACTGAGATCCATTAATAAACTCGTATCGTATCTTACAACAAAAATAAAAGGATAAATGATTAAAGAAATAGAAGGGAAAATGACAGAAAACTAGGTAGAAGACCAGAAAAATGAGGGATGAAAGGCAGCCGACTGTAGATGTGAAGAAATAAGGAGAAATAGCAAACCCTAAGTATATGTACACGTAAGTCTTTTTGAAAATATTTCATGTGGGGGTGGGGGAAGTTAATCTCTAAACTCGATTTCAAATTTCGTTATATTAAATTCAAATCGTTCTATTTTAAAATTTGATTTTAGAAAAAATAGTTTTATCAAATAAGTTTAGATAGAAATTCATTCAATTTGAATATTTTTTTTAGTCTTAATGGTTAAATAAATGCCCAAGTTATACTTTTTGTGTCAAATAAGTGCCTACATTTTTTTGGCCTATCGAAGTACCTAACATTACAAACGTTAGTACTTTAGGTGTTCGGATCGTTAACAGCATTAGTTTTCGTCGTTAAGTGACTGGAGTCACAACCTTGTAATTTAAAAAAAATTATATATAATTAAAAAATAAAATTATATATTTTTTTAAATAAGAAAACACAAATTTTGAAATAACCCTTAAACTTTGAAAACTTTCATTTCAACCCTAAACCCACGGTGACCTTCACCCTTTGCCGTTGAAGAAGCTCCACCCGACCTACCCTCCCCTTCCCGGCACCAAAACCCCGATAAAATCGTGACCACTTGACGATCGATCAACGTCAAATCAACATTTTAAATCCTGCGAATCCTAAGATGAAAATCGCGATCCCACGCAATTTCGATGGTGAATCGGTAACAACTGCGGTGGCATATAACTAGGATGATGGCAAGGACTATGTTGGCGGCGGTGGTCGTGGTTGGAGAGGGTCGTGATGGTGGATTAAGGTTAAGATTTGGGATTCTGGGATTGTTTTAATATAAGAAAAGTTAGTGGTTTTTTAAATAAATATAATAATATTTTTAATATTTAAAAAAATAAATTTCAAAATTATCAGGTTGTGACACATGTCACTTAACGGAAAAAAAACTAACGCAGTTGACGACCCGAACACCTAAAATGCTAACATTTATAATATTAAGCACACAGTCAGACCAAAAAAATGTATACAGTTGTTTGGCATAAAAAATATAGTTTGATTACTTATTTGAGCATTAAGCCTTTTCTTTATAAAGGAATCTTTCATTAATGGGTTGTTCAATTCGCTGTACTAGGTTGTTGGAAAATTGAGGCAATCCTTAATTGACGTCGGTATGTATAATTAAATTCACTCTGTCATGTAAATCTTATCCAAGGAATCATTAATTGATCATAAAATGCAAGTAGCGAAATTTATACGAAATTAGATAATAATAAAATAAAAGCAGGAGACTGCCGCATGGGAGAGAAGGGAGTAAAGCACGTGACATGGTCTGGTCCCATAACGACAATAACTACCATATAAGCATATTTTAGGTAACACATGGTTCGGTGATCTCTAACTTCAAAATATATATAACTAAAATGATAAAATTAATAATATTTATTTTTGTTATTATTAATAAAGGTAGAAAATGGGAAAAATTAGGGGATCCAATAATAGTAATTCTCTCCAGTAGGGTTGAGAGAAATCTTCCAGCTCTTAGCTTTTAAGTAATCACCCCACCAAAAATGGCTGACAATTAAACAACCCTTTGTGCCTACGCCCACTTTCTTCACCTCGGTTCCGGATTTTGAGCCCAACACTCCCACCATCTCCTCCCATATAGTCACCTCCCCCATCACCATTTCTTCATCTTTAACTTCATCATTTTCGTGCTCGTTCGTTGTTGTTGTGTTCATCGTATTTTTCTATGACCTCCTCTTGGTCTTTCTCTTCGACGGCGTTGTCTTCGAACATTGTGTTGGCATCGACGTCCTTGAAAAGGGAAAGCCTAAGCCTTCCCTCGCTTCGTTCTGTATGGAAGTAGCTATTGCAAGGAGGGATGGTAACGGCTTCAAGAACTAAACGGCCGCCCTCTCTGTGAGACTTGACTTTGACACCATTTGATCCGCTGATGGACGTCAACGGAGGCGGAAAGCTGTTGACTCGGCTCGCTTTTATTCTCCTTGGACTCTCTCTCGGTTTCGAATTGTAAACAACGTTTTCTAATGAAAGCAGGGAAATGTCGTCTATGCTCTCGCTAACTTCACTTCCGGTCTCGCTGCCTAAGCTCTCTGTGCACATTTCAAGACTCCTTTCGGTCAGCATAGAAGTCGAACGCTTCACGAGAGGGTGAACGTAAACTTTGTCACTCGGAGTAGAATTAGAATCGTCGGCGGCGAGCGACTGGAGGAAACTCCAGCAGCTCGCGTCGACATTTCGATTGCCTATCGGCTTGCAGTCGTCAATGGCATCTTTTACTCCGGTATACGGCATAGGTTTCGGCTCCGTCGAAGCAATGGATGAGGATGGGAAATTGGTTTTCGGTGGAGCCAATTTCAGGCTCATAAAACGTGATTCAATGTGCCGTAGGTCCATGCATGATTGCAACTCGTGACAGACACTTAACGACATGTTTTTTATCCACAACAAAAATGTTGGGGGGAAAAACAGGGGAGCTTAACTGAAAGAACGAGAAAAAAAACCCTGTTTTCCTCACCTTTTTTGGAGTTTTGTGACAAATAAAAAAACACAGATATATTTATTTGGTGTTTGAAGAGGAAGAGAAAGAGGTAAGGAACAAAGGCAGTGGAACATGAATGAAAAGTGAAAGCATTGGGGGACCATTTATAGGAGAGGGTGACCTGTTAAGCCCACTAAATCTTTTACAATCTTTTACTCTACCACACATTCCTTATGAATATTGAGGTGACACATTAAAGTTTTCTTCTAAAAAAATTTTAAGGTTCCAAATTGATAATTGTTGCAAAGGCTATTTTTTTTTTATGAACAGAGCGATCGTTGATCAATCCCAATGAAAATATTACATTTGATAAGTATATTAATATAATTAGTTTTCAAGTTTCTGACGATTGAAAGAAAGTTTTAGCTTTAAGTTTTCATTGAGATTTGAGGAGACTAAAAGGTTTTTCAATAAGTTTAAAATGATTGAAAGAAAGTGAAAAAATAAAAATAAGAATAGCAGTTTGATGATCGTTTTAACAAGAGAAACTATTGAAAGACAGAAAGAAAGAAAGAGTGATGATCATCAGTTCTTTAGGATTTTTAAATGTGTCACTTCAAGTGTTGTTAACGATTTGGTAAACAAAATGAAAGTTTTTACCAATGGCAATGACACCGATGATTTTTTTTTCTGTATATCACCAAAGTATCAGTGTAATTTACAAAGTTGATTGAATTGTAGTCAACTTTTATTGAACATGGTAAAGACATCTTTGCTATTAGGAATGAGCATTAGTTTAACTTGTTTCTTGTTTTAGGATGGGGGAGGGGACCCAACAAAGCCAATAGTTGGAGACTGCCACTCCAAACACAAATGCATATATGTACATGAGAGAAGTAGGTCCTGTTTTGCTATTAAAAGAAAACCAAGCAAATCAACCTTAGACACAGAGAAAAGGTTTGACTCTTCTTTCACATTTCGTATGTCATTAATTTGCAATTATAGTTAAATAAACCAAACTTGTTAGTGTTCATTCAAGTGAAAGGGCAGCAAACCCTATTTGCCCTATAATCACAAACATTTGCATTCACCTTTGCTTCACGGATGGAGGTGATGTGTCAAGAATAGACAGATGTTATAATTGTAGCATTTAAACTACTATTTTGGTCTTTTTTTGCTTCTTTTGTCAATTAATTTTAAAAAAACTCAATTTCATCATTAAACTTCCTAATTGCTTCTATTTTGATCACTCAATCGTTGTGTGTCTGTCTAACTACAGTACTAAAACGCTGTGCTTGGGTTTTTTTTTCTGTTTCTTTTAAAAATTTAATATTTTCTCCTCAGTTGTTGGAATCCTTCTCCACTATCGTTGGATTGTTATTAGCCACCATTTGAGATGCAACTAGTACCAAAATTTCTCCTTTCTCTCCTTTTTTTTCCTTCTCAATTTGACTTTCCTTAAAATAAAAATAAAAAACTCAAATTAAAGTTTCAACTTATCTTTCTGTGATGTAAAATGTCCATCATCTTACCAATGTATAATCGATATATATTATTTTTCTCCTCTTTAATCTTTCCACTGTTTGGATTTAGAAGAATACTTCGACATTGATGAACTAGAGGGAGTCTAACAATTGGATTTGAGAGTAAATTTTCAGGGTCTTTTCGCATAAATTTACCAAAGAAATTCAAATGACATTAGAACTTAGTAGTTGAGGGATCAAAAAAGAAATAATTTGAAAGTTAATGATGAAATTGATTTTTTTTAAATAAGTGACCAAAACAGAAACATGAACAAAGTTGAATGAGCAAAACTATAATAGAAACACCAAATTTATGATAATGCCTTCAGTCTTTCAGTTCAAGCTCAGAAAGGGCTAATGATGTTAGCAAAATTATAAAATAAACCCTTAGCTTTTAATTTCTTTGAAGCCATGAGGTCACAGCAAATGACAAAAGCTTACAATTACAAACCACTATTATTATAAATAAATTTTATATATATCCTGCATTGGAATACAACATCACTTTGCCTTTTCATTTCTAGCCTTTAGAATGGACAAAAATTATCATATTTTATTTGTCAACTAAATGACCCAAAAAAAAAACAGGTTTGCTTTAAAATATACGAGTACCAAAATCATTTCAAAATCCTTCAGCATAAAGGTCAAAAAGTGCTTACGTCCAATACATAATTAAATTAGACCGACAATTTATATATAGTATTTACGTACAAATTATTTTATCTAACCCGACATAATTAAGACACGTAGGTAACTACTGAGCTACTTTGAGTGTTTAAGAATCATTTCCTTATTTGCCCGATTCGTCAAGCTTTAACCCTAAAGATTTTGAAGGGAAATACATAATAAAGGGGACAGCAATGGTCGATGGAAATCGAGTTCATATGACTGACACTTCCACGATTTTGTTTGTTGTTACTTGCTACTTAAGGTATTTTGCAAAAACTCGAAACTGGGCAGATGGACGATGCACTAATTGCTTCTTAACTTTCGTACCAATAATACACTCGTTTACTTCATTTGTTTCTGAATGATTATTGAACCATTGAGATTCCAAAACAACTGTTATAGTGGTTTTTCATTTATTTTGTCAAGATGTGGAGATTTTGATCACAATTATTGGAGCGAAACCCTAATACCCAATTATGGTATTAATCATCGGTATATCAATAGTTATTACAAACGAGAATAATAGCGGGGAAATGAAAGTGATCCTTCTAAATTTGAAGGGCTTTCTTTTTAGCATTTCCAATTTTATTTTAAAAGTTGAATTCCAAGTTGTTTGAAATAGAATTTATCGTGATTATTGAGGATGATAGATCCAAAAATATTTTTTAGGATGTGCATGCATATACATTAACCACACAAAATTTATGTATGGGTGAGCACAGATAAAATTTTACGATATAAACAATCAATAAAATAAACCACTAATTTAAGAAAATTTAAATTTTAAGATGAAGATGTGTCTATCTTAACATAGACGTGGATCCACTACTGATTATTGACGTAATAGATATACTAAGAACGATTATTATTACAATGTGTAAGAGAATGTGAATTTGAACATGCTTAAGCTTATAATAGCAGTTGGAAAATGAATGATTTTGTCCCTAATCCACCCTCCATTGAAGGACATGCAAAGTACCCTAGTTTCAAAAACCAAGGGACAATTTAATGGGTAGGCAATCCCTCCTCTTAAGTCTTATCTATTGAGTTTGGTCCTCCATTAATAGGGAAGCCCTAGTTGTTTGACACCATTATCATCCATCATGCAACAGTTCATTCAAGCTTCCGTGAAAAGAAAAAGCTTAAGATTCTTTTTTCTGTACTTAACAATTAATGGAATGAATTAATTTGCTATATATTGATATAATGAATTATCACTTTTTTGTTTAAATAAATGGTTTACCTAAAGAATATATAATCAGACTACACCATATCATATTTATTAAAATGCCCCTCCTTTAGTTTGTAACTATCGTTTATATTTTTAAATTTTATAAGATTTTATAGCATATATTTTTAATTTTAATATTGTATACGATTTTATAAATATATTTGACTTAATTTTATAAAAATTAATATATAAAAATCTGTAATTTTTTTATTAGATCATGTTAAAATTAAATTAATTATTAATGATATATCATCATTTAATTTTCTAACTATATATGATTTATACATCTATGTAATAAATATTCATTCTTTTAAATAAATAATTAATTTTTCATATCCTTCCAACTGAAGATGGATTCGGGATTCATTTAATTTATGCAATTATCTTTTCGATAAATGACCTATAAATAATCTTGAAAATTTTAATATTAATACTCCTTTTTTAATCCTCAAACTATGACCTCTCCTTTTATATATAATTATAAGGCATTCATATTTATAATTATTCGAAAATTGATTAAATATGTACTTATTTGGAAGTACTCTTTATAATTGTATGACAAAAGTTGAAGGTTTCAATTTGAATCCAGCCTTAATCTTTGAATTGTAAACATAAGTAGAAAGGATTGGGGTGTTGAGTTGCTAGGCTGTATAGCTCTAGGGTTTTAGCCTTATAGCGATGAAGAATATGTGCCCATTGCATTTGCCATAACCATCAAATTTGCTTTCAAAATCATTCATTTTTTCCTTTTAGGGTTAGCCAACCAATGGAAAAGGGAGACTCTTTGAATTCCAAGGGGGAAAAGGGGTCTCTTTGTGCATGGTCATAGTCATACTCCCATTGGACATTGAAAAAGAAAACACCCCCCAAAGTTAGGTCTGTTTTGCTTCTTTACCTTAATATTGAAATTATGTTTGTTTATTTGCATATACTTTTTTTCTCATCTTTATATATTATCAAACAAAGATGATGGAATCAAAGTCATGGCTTTTGACTATTTTTAACACCTTTTCTTCTATTTTATTTTAGGGTAAAATATACAATCGGTCACTAAATTATGATGTTACATGTCTTAATCATTAATTTCCTGTCTTAATCATTTTACTAATACTATGATGTTACATGTCTGGTCTTAATCATATTTAATCTTATATTAGTAAATCAAATATCTCTGTTACTCGAACTTGATTTAAGTTGAGTAATTCAAATATTTGAATTCCTTCCTGGCTTAAGTTGAGAGTTGCCATCTATGGCAATAAGAAAAAACAATGACCTTTTCAGAAGAAAACGGCGGAAAGGGGATTTAGTAAAGCGAGAGAAGAGAGGAGGAGATGGGGTGAAGCGAAAAGGACGTCGGAGGGAAAGGCCGGGGACTGGAGGGAAAGGAAGGGGGTCATCGAAAACGAAAAGTGGAAACTTTTTTGTGGTACCAAGTAATTTGGTTGTGGAGGCAGAGATTAGAAAAAGCAGAGAGAGTGGAACAGCGACTGGTAAGAGATGACATTTTTATCTTCTTATCCTTTGGAGAATTTGAGTGATACCAATGAATCCACCTCCAAGTTAAAAGTCTAAAAGATAAGTAATCCAACGGTCAATATGATAAGAAACCTCAACGGGCAGTTGTCTAAAGTTGGGAGCTTTTCAAAGTCAAAATTCAGTGGCACATCACTCGGCTCAATTCAAAAGTAAACTCAAT